CCATCAATAAGAGTTTAGAGCTTATAGTAATTACTAATTCAAACACATATCGCCATCTTTCGTGCCTTGCCTTTTACAAATTTGCCGTATTTTGTACTCGTGCTCATACACGTGCAAGATAACTCTCAGTAAACTCTTTATATAAAACAATGTTTCTAGCAGCATTCAAAAATTACTTTCAGAACTTATTTCGATTTACCCACTAACTCAATATTTAATCATCACTCTTATTTCTAATTGCCAGACAGCCAACAATAGAATAATAATCTATAAATTACTCATCAGTACTTTTAGGCTGCTCTGAAAACTACTTTCTTCACCTTGCAGCTCTTAAGTCCAACTATACATAAAGGTGTGATAAACCTGAAAGGACTGCACTTAAGAATCTTTAGATATGAAACAAAGAGTACAGACTGCTGCTCCTATTATAATAAACTTTGAGAATAGTACATAAATAATAAGAAACAATGAGATACTTCTACTCTTCTGAACGAAACTTATCTTTCCACAAGCATATAACACAAGATGGTTCAAATAAATTTTGACACCGTTAATACGGGCCATCATTGAAGGTCATGGGAAGTAACAAATCTTCATGAACACCAACAATACGCTTTTCATGCTTAACCCAACAATGCACAAGAGATATTTTAGCATATGGAGTACCTCTAAGATTGGATTTAAACCCACAAGTTGTCAGGTGATTTGCAAGTTTCTCCCCTAAGTAACGTTTCCAGTTTTCGGTTGCCTTGGCTTCAGGAACAGCCCATACAACTGCTGTTTCAGTAGCAAGGTTGACACTAGCAGTCGACACCTGCGGCTGCAAATACATATCTAAAATTTGTGGGATTCTAAATGTCTTCACTAGCTAATGATAACTCAATTTAAAAACTATTATGTGCTAAAAACAGAATCAAAACAAAGACCTAGAGATGAGAAATAAGAGAATATTTGTCTACAGAACCAAATTGATTCTTAAAAAACGCATGTGAAATTCACCTATTCCCTAGTTTGTGATTCCAGATAAGAGTTAGGGAAAACCCAGGGAATGGAGCATTTGATCATTATAGTATGAAAAATAAAGAAATTTTCAGTAGCTCAGGGGTTGTTGAAAAATTAGTTCAACGTGCACAAGCTACTTGACACCCGAGAAATATAGCATTAATTACACAAGTCATGCTTTCATTGTAATGTCCTCCAGCCTACAGACAGAATCCTGAATTACTATAGGCTTTATGTATGTCTTCACTGGCAGTTGTGCATGAGTGAGAAGATGGAAATGGCTAAAAGGTATCTTATTTGTTTTCTGATGCACAGATAAATATGATGAGAAGTCTCTAATATGCATCACGAATAACAAGCTACTCCTATCCTCTACATAGAATTTTTTTTCAGTAGATAATGAATGAATCTATCACTAAGAACGCTTACAAGATCATTCAGTGAAAGAAAATCCTAGGTGTATAATCCTCAGAATATTAAGATTCCTGAGGAAGAGAAAGAACCTTACTTGACTTTCCAGAATCCGTTTTACACTCGCAGCACACCCACCACAGGACATTCCCTGAAAGAATTATTGGGATAACCGATTAATCTATATCCTTCCAATCAAATAATTTTTTTGAGCTAAAAACTATCAAAGATTTAAAATACTATAAAAATAAAGAAAATTGGTCCAAACAGTTGGTCATCTTCCAACTGCTTAAAATACATAGTAACAATATATTATAGCCCTATCAACCAATCTATCATGAAGCTTATCCTTCTACCAACAGGAAAAAAAAATTTAGGTTCAAAATGCAAATTTGAAAATAACATCCATATTCATTTTTTTCTTTTTCCTTTTTTTTGGGTGCTTCAAGCAATTTAGATCTCGTAACTTGACTGGTGTGAATAAACATTTTAAACATGTCTTTGATGAACTTAGGTTTGGGGGATTTGTTCTCATGGGGGAGCCGCATTTATCTTAAAGCCTGAGCAGGCTCACATGTGGAGAGTCATATGCATCTTACTCATTGTACATGCACAAGGTTAAGTTTTACGGTTCCTTAATAACTAATGTGCAGGAGAATAATCGTAGCCCATGGTGGAAACAATCGTGCCTAGGCTCAAATTCAGAAAGTGCTTGAGTTTCTTGGATCCATGTGAACTTATCTATTTTTTCTATAGAAGTGATAAGAAATTCTCAAATTAAATTGAGTTACCAAAAACTTTTCATTTTAAAAGGTTAATAAATCTGATTAGAATATAAAACACAACCCTAGTGATATGGTAACAGAGTAACCACGGCTTGCGCCCCACCTGCCATGTATTCTAAAACAGATTTTTCAAAAGGTAGAAACTACAGCATGAGTTTAGGTTTCAGACCGTGAAAGGGGTGCTCAACATGCGCAGACATCTAACAATATAAAATTATGACCCTCAACCCTCATCATAACTTTAGAATTTGAGTGCAACGGAACGGATCTTTGACGAATCCAACTTCAAAACCCTTAGACCTCGCATTTTTTGAAGGTCAAGTCACAGAAAATTTTAATTCCAGAAAAATGAAGCATGAATCTAATCATTCGAGTCAAGTAAAGTATGCATGAAGGTTTCTATCAATTGTTAAGAGGGATGAAACCCCAACAATCAGTAATGATAGTAACCAAAACCTCTTAAATAAATTGTACAAGTATTTTGTCACAACCACAAGTTACTATATTATTCTTCTTCTTTTGGAAATACAGTCTTGAATTTGGTACCTCCAATAGTTCGATTGCACGCCATTTATCATCACCAAGCTCAGATCTTCGAGATATTTGCTAATTTATTGGGAATACCGAAACTCTACTCTCTTTTTAAAATTATTTCTTTTTTTCTGGAAAACTTTACATGTGCTGATAACTATCAGTTGGCTCTATGGTTATTTTCTCTACTACTATATTCCACCATAACCAAGAGATTAGCATAAGAAGAACTTAACACTTCCGCAATCATCATTCCATTTGCATCATATACAAGAGGCATAAACATATATAGCTCTGTAGAGCAATTTAAAATAAAAATAAAAATCAGAGGAAAGTGTTGGGAAAAGTGGTGCTGTTTAGACTGAATTTAACAATAAAATTAGATTTTAAACAGTTGATAAAAATCAGATAGTAGCCGAACAATATTATAACTCGGAAATAAAATTAATTTAAAAGAAAATAAAATCAAGTTCAGAAATACGGCCTGATGATCGAAGTGTGCACTACGCATTGTCCCAAGAATCTAATTACCCCATCTCGTACAAGGCTTTGTGGCAACGGATCTTGGAGATATGACGACCATCGGTCAGGCGACCTCCTTCTCGTTGGCATAAGCTTCAAGAAGGTTTTGCGAACTCTTCACAACTTTCAGCGAACAACAGAAGTGTAACAGTAAGAAAATAATTCGAAAAGAGAGGAAGAGAAAGGAACTGTTGTATTTTTCACTATATATTAACTCTTGCGACTGTAGATTCTGTTATAGGGTTTGAAGTCGTCGTTTAGATCTACATTTTTCTCCCTTTTAGATCCACCATTGGCATTCACGCCCTATTAAATATGTTAAATATGCTAGATGTTTGCATTCATCCAGCTACCGGTTTAGATCCTCAATTCTCGCCTATTAATTATATTAACCGTTATTTATCATTTAGATCCGCCAATCTCGCTCTCCAGATCCACCGATCTCGCTCATTAATGCTTAGCCCCGAGTCCGAACCCTCGAGGTGTCGATTCATACCGCATTTCGTGTCGACCAGAGGGTGTCGACTCGTCCTGTTGTGTCGTTCATTCATTCGTGTCGACTAACACCACCTTTCGTATCGACCAAGGATGTCAACTCGTCCTATCATCTCGTTCGTTCGTTTCGACTAATATCGTCTTTCGATTAGCAAAAAATAAAGATTCAAAATGTAGCAGGTTAAGGCCCCTCAATCCGGAGCTGCATTCGTGTCTGCATGTTGTGGGCACGCGCCTCCCGACCCGACCGGAGCCCGGTTCGGTTCGGCGCACGCGTGTGTGGTTTAGAGCATAACCCATATTTTCTTCTAAGCATGGAAGAGAAAGGAAAGGCTTATAAACAACATATCTTCTCATCTTCTTTCCAATGTGGGACTAAACTTTCTCACTACAAAGTCAAGTTTTAAGTTACAACTCCAACAATCCCCCACATAACTTAAAACTTAAAATAATTCAGAAATAAGAGTAAAAGAAGAAATTTAAAAATAAGATTGTTGGTTCCCTTATACTATGTAATAGGTGGAGGTACCTTTCGGTTTGAACCTTCACTTAGTGACAGTTGTATAGAGCCGTGAGAGCTTGGTGGACTACGCCTTGAACCAATCTCATTTATCAGATTTCTACATAAAACACACATAGTACAGTTTTGAAGAATTCTAAATGGGTTGCGCTATTATCGGTCTTGCGCAGGTATCTTTCATGTGTGTTACTAGGAAACAGCCCTAATCCCATAGTCGTGGCCTCACAACTACACACATATAGGTGAATCCTAATAAGAATGCGAGCAAGTAAGCATCATGTCTCATGGGTCTTGGATTCATTAAGAGTTAAAACTCAACCTTTCACTTGCTTTTTATGAGCACTGATCATCCTAGTGATAGAAGCAAATAAATTCAGTGCTCCTCACAATTAATCACTCGTCTAGTTTGTTTCTACTCATTGAACCTTTGCGAGGTTGGTTGCTACTGCAGTGATTTTTCTTATAGGCTTAACCCCATCTCCCTCAATGATTCTAGGATCACTGCTCTAGATAAGCCTTTAGTTAAATAATCTGTAAGATTTTTCTCTGATCTACAAAGTCTAAGGCTATTACATGATTTTTCATCTTATATCTCAAGGATTTATGCCGCACTTTCAAGTACTGATTCATTTTCACATTTGTATTTTCTTGGTGATATTTGTCAATCGCTGACCTGCAATCACAATGAATAGAAATAGCTGGTAATGATTTTTGCATTAATAAAATTTCAGTTAGTAAATTTTTTAATCATTCAGCTTCTATACGAGTAGTATCAAGAGCTATCATTTCTGATTCCATTGTACTTCTAGTCATTACAGTTTGTTTAGTAGATTTCCATGAAACGGCTCCTCCTCCTAAAATGAACACAAATCCAGTAGTAGATTTTACATCTACTGAGTCACTAATCCAATTTGCATCTGAGTATCCTTCTAATACAGATGGATAACCTTTATAATGTAAACCATAGTTCATAGTTTCTTTTAGATACCTCAAAAAAATTTTCTAGAGCATCCCAATGACTCTTATCAGGATTTGATGTATATCTATTAAGTCTATTTACTGCATAAGAAATGTCAAATCTGGTGCAGTTTGTCAGGAATCCTAATGATCCAATTATTTGTGCATATTCTCTTTGTAATTGAGGATAACCTGTATTTTTGTTAGATGTACATTAGGATCATATGGAGTAGAAACAGATTGACAGTTTGGATCATAAAAATTCTTGAGGATTTTCTCTATGTAGTGTGATTGTGATAGCACATACTCATTCTCATTCTTCAAGATTTTAATGTTAAGAATTAGGTCAGCAGACCTAAATCTTTCATGTCAAATTTTTGTGATAAGAAGTATTTGATTTCATTTATGGTTTGTATGTTAGAACCAAAAATAAGAATGCCATTAACATATAAGCATAAAATCATAATTTTATTGTTATTGCTTATTTTATGATATACACACTCATCTGTTTGATTAATTTCAAATCGATAAGATAGTATGATCTCATCAAATTTCATATGCCATTGTTTTGGAGCTTGTTTGAGGCCATATAGTGATCTAATAAGCTTGCATATTTTCTTCTCTTGTCCAAAAGTAACAAATCTCTCGGATTGATCCATATAAATTTCTTCATCTAAATCTCCATTTAAGAATGCAGTTTTAACATCCATTTGATGTATTATTAATTTATGGATGGATGCTAGAACTATAAGGACTCTAATGTTAGTAATCATAGCTACTGGAGAATATATATCAAAATAATCAATACCAGATTTTTGGGTGTATCATTTAGCTAGTAATCTGACTTTATATTTATCTATTGTTTTATCAGGCCTGAGTTTTTTTTTAATACTCATTTACATCCTATAGTTTTGCATCCTGAAGGAAGATCAGTGAGTTCTCAAGCATGGTTTTGAACTATAGATTGAATCTCATCATTTATAGCTTCCTTACAAAATGGAGCATCTACTGATTTTATTGCATCCTCAAATGTAATTGAAAAATCTTCTAAAAGTAATTGCATAGAAGTCAATTCCCAAGTATGGTTTTGAACTATAGATTGAATCTCATCATTTATAGATTCCTTCCAAAATGGAACATCTACTGATTTTATTGCATCCTCAAATGTAATTGAAAAATCTTCTAAAAGTAATACATAGAAGTCTTCATGGACCTTTTCTACTCTAGATCTCTTACTTCTTCTAGGTTCTTCTAGATTTTCTAGTGGTCTGATTTGTCTAGAACTAGTTTCATCTTGGTTAGAACTAGGATCTGTATTGCTAGAGTTAGGATCTGTGTTGTTTACTCTGATTTTGTAAGGAAAAATATTTTCAAAGTAATGTGCATCTCTAGCTTTAATAATGGTGTTGTTGGCTATCTCATTAATGTCAAGAGTTGATTATTAAAAATCTATCTGCATTACTATCAGAAGCATATCCAATAAAGATTCCATCTACAGTTTTAGGGTCAATCTTCTTTCTCTTATTTTCAGGTATCTTAACTTTTGCTAAGCACCCCCACACTTTTAGGTGATCTAAATTAGGGTTTCTATTCTTCTAAATTATGTAAGGGGTTTTATTCGAATTCTTGAATGGAATTCTATTTAGTATATGACAAGCAATCATGAGGGCTTCTCCCCACAGATTCTCTGGCATACCAAAATTAATTAACATTGAGTTTATCATATCCATTAGTGTTCTATTCTTTCTCTCAGCTACTCCATTAAATTGAGGTGTATATGGAGCAATTATTTCATAAATAATTCCATTCTCTTCATATAATTGTTTTAGTTCATTAGAAGTGTACTCATCACCTCTATCTGATCTTAGTATTTTAATTTTTCTATCCAATTAATTTTCAACTTCTGCTTTATATATTTTAAATTTGTTTATCACTTCATCTTTGGTCTTAATTAAGTAGAGATAATAATATTTAGAACAATCGTCTATGAAAGTTACGAAATATTTGTTACCCCTCTAGATGTTCTTCCTGAATCACAGACATCACTATGGATGAGTTCTAATATCTCAGAATATTTACCAATGGTTTAGAAGGGTTTCTTAGGAAGTTTAGCTTCTACACATATTTACATTTTTTATTATCTTTTATATTAAGCTTTGGAATTATATTGAGTTGCATTAATTTTTTAATTGAATTATAATTGACATGTCCTAGTCTTTGATGCCAAGTGATACATGGTTCAATATTCAAAGCCATTGGAGATGCAGCAGTAGAGTTCTTAACATTCAATTTAAAAAGACCATCACATAGAAATCTTTTTCCAATAAAATTCAATCCCTTAGTTATTACAACTTTATTTGATTCAAAAACAAAGTTTGTAGCCTTATTGCACTAATAAAGATCCGCTAATCAAATTTCTTCTAATGTCTGGTACATAGTGGACATCCTTTAGGATTAAAGTCTTATCCGAAGTGAGCTTTAGGTTGATCCGACCTATTTCAGATACAGTAACCACATCATTATTTCTCATTGTCACAGTTCCTCTACTTGAGACCTGATAAGTGAAAAATAGAGATTGATTAGAGCAAACGTGAATATTAGCTCCAGTGTCAATCCACCAATCATTTGTTTGAAAGGTCATGTTTACTTCAGGAGTGAAGAGAACAAACCTGAAAGCAGTCTCAGCTGAACTGAAAGTCATCATGTTTACTTGTGACTTATTAGGTGAAGGTCCTCCTTTCCTAGACTTGGGTGGTTTTGTATTCTTATAAAAACAGTCCTTTACAAGATGGTTGGTTCGTCCACAAACAAAACAGGCTCGACGTTCAGCTCCTTCCTTCTTTTGAAAGTGGATAGGATTCTTATTTTGATGAAATGATTTCTTCTTAAATGTTTTATTTTGATTTTGATGAAAGGGATGTTTCTTGTAATTGGGAAATGATTTGGATTCAATATTGTTTACTTTGGGTTCTTTGGGTTCGAATTTTGTCACATTTTTCTCCCTGAGCCTATGTTGCTCTTCCATTCTAATGGCATTCAACACTTGTTCTAAGGTAAGATCTCTTTGGGTATGATTAAGGTTTTTGGCTAAATCTGACTAGGACTCAGGAAGTTTGTCTATAAGACATGCTATCTGAAACGTTTCATCTAAGATAGATCAATTCATTTTCAATTGGTTAACAATATGTTCGAATTCATGAATTTGCTCATTCATTGGTTTAGAATCTACCATTTTGAAGTTGTTAAAATCAAAGGCTTTAAATCTTTTAATTCCTGTATCATCTAAACTATACTTTTTTCTCTAATGTTTCCCACAAAACTTTAGCATTAGTGATAGTGTAATATATATCATATAATCTATCAGATGAGGCTCCTAATATTCTGTGTAGACAATGATACTCTATCTCTTGAGGTGTTCTCAGGATAGGAATGGAACCTGTGGAGGAAGATTGCCTAGTGATTGGTCTAGATGAAGATGGGTTGTCGGGTTCAATTGCAGTTATTAAATTTTGAGTTGTTAACAAAAATATCATTTGGTTTTACCAATGACGGAAATTGTTCCCATCAAACTTCTCTAGTTTGGCCGATAGGATTTCAATTGTAGCCATGATCTGATGATGAATAAATGATTTTGTTATTATGATGCAGCATACTAACTTAGGCACTCAATCAACAAAAACATCAAGTAGTACAACGGGTCAGTGTTATGACATATAAACTGCATTATCATAAGAAATGAAATACGAAACAGAATACTAAACATGATAGTATTCTAAACAGCACAATTAGATTCTTGGATTGTTGGGAAAAGTTGTGCTATTTAGACTGAATTTAACAATAAAATCAGATTTTATATAGTTGATAAAAATCAGATAATAGCCGAACAATATTATAACTTCGAAATAAAATTATTTTTAAAAAATGAATCAAGTTTAGAAATACGGCCTGATGATCAAAGTGTGCACTAAGCATTATCCCAAGAATCTAATTGCCCCATCTCGTACAGGCCTTCGTGACAATGGATCTTAGAGATACGACGATCCTCGGTCAGGCGACCTCCTTCTCATCGGCATGAGCTTCAAGAAGACTTTGCGAACTCTTCACAACTTTCAGGGAACAACAGAAGTGTAACAGTAAGAAAATAATTCGAAAAGAGAAGAGAAAGGAATTGTTGTATTTTTCACTATATATTAACTCTTGCGGCTGTAGATTCTGTTATAGGGCTTAAAGCCGTCATTTAGATCCACATTTTTCTCCCTCTTAGATCCACCATTCATGCCCTATTAAATATGTTAAATATGCTAGTCGTTTGCATTCATCCAGCTACCGGTTTAGATCCTTAATTCTCGCCTATTAATTATGTTAACCGTTATCTGTCATTTAGATCCGCCAATCTCGCTCTCCAGATCCACCGATCCCGCCTATTAATGCTTAGCCCCGACTCCGAGCCCTCGAAGTGTCGACTCATACCGCATTTCGTGTCAACCAGAGGGTGTCGACTCTTCCTGTTGTCTCGTTCGTTCATTCGTGTCGACTAATATCACCTTTCGTGTCGACCAGAGGGTGTCGAGTCGTCCTGTTGTCTCGTTCGTTCCTTTCGACTAATATCGTCTTTCGATTAGGAAAAAACAAAGATTCAAAATGTAGCAAGTTAAGACCCCTCAATCTGGAGCTGCATTCGTGTCCGTAGGTCGTGGGCGCGCGCGCCCCCCGACCCAACCCGAACCCGGCCCGATTCGGTTCGGCACGCGCGTGTGGTGTGGAGCATAACCCATATTTTCTTGTAAGCATAGTAGAGAAAGGAAAGGCTTATTTATAAACAACCTATCTTCACATCTCCTTTCCAACGTGGGACTAAACTTTCCCACTACAAAGTTAAGTTTTAAGTTACAACTCCTACAGAAAGCTCATAATCCCAAGTTGAGAATTTGCAATATGAATGAAATCACCAAGACACAAAAGCAGTTCTTTTCCAGGGAAAATATTTTGACAGTAGCTTATATAAAAATGCGATTTTTTTTCATTACAAAAACCATGGAAAGACGGAACTTCCGTTTTCAGGAAAGGAAGTACCAAAACAGCAAAAAGAAAAATCTTACTCCAACATCGAGAATAATAACATCAGACTCCTGAGCCGACCCCTCTCCAACCCCCACCG